AGGGAAAAACAAAGAAAATTTTTACCAAAAGATAAAAATAAAGAGAAAGGTTACCTCACGCAAACTAAGTGGCAATGATGGAACCGCCTCGGGAGTCGTGGGGGAAGTGAAAAGGTTTTCCCCGTTTTAATAGTAAATAATTAAGATACGGTCATGATGGTGACAGATGTCACGCGATCAAATATGGGTAATACCAAAATTAAAGGACTGACGAGATCTTGGCGGGAAAATCAGAAGATACCACAAGCGCAATCTTTGGTCATAAAAACGTTCAAGTCCTCCGAATTGGAATAAGCACTTCGAAAGACTTGGGGGGCTAATTGTTGGTGTCGGATCCCGCGCCAGTAGACCGGGACCAACCAAAGATTGCCACGTAATCAGGATGAAGGCCCGCAAAGGGATAGGGCCCATTAAGCCCATGGTTTACAGGATATAATCGAAGTGGGCGTCATCACGAAGGGAGCTCGAAGTGGTCCCATCTCGGGATGTGACCCGGAATCAAAGTAATTTGGGCCAGAAGGCGAGGCCCATGAAGATCATAATCAATTCAAATTCAAACGTTGAGCATTAAACTCGAAGACCAAAACGGATACATTAAATAGAGAATAATTGTATTTAATTGAGGAATTAATGTCATTTGTTAGTATAAGTAAGAGGGCTAATAGCCATGTAAGGGGAGACGCAATTTTTGAGCAATTATACTATAGTCATTCCCATTGCAATTCATAGCTTTTTGATATCAATTTTTGTCCTCAAGAATAATCTTTCCCACTAAATAAACAAGTATTTGAGTGTGTGAATCCGACGTCCACACTCCTCAGCACCAAACATCGATCGAATCTTGGAAGAATCCCGCAATACACCTTTCACTAGAAGAATTTCCGAAGCAACGATCTCTGATCCGGGAAAGCTGAAGATAGACTACTTCAACGGGACCACCGACCCGAAGGGGCACATTAAATCGTTCATGATATCTGTGGCCCGAGCCAGATTCAAACCCGGGGAGAAGGACGCTGGTCTGTGTTTGTTATTCGTGGAGCATCTCAAAGGACCCGCGCTGGACTGGTTCTCAAGATTGGAGTAAAACTTGGTCGATAGTTTTGACGAGCTGCCAACGCTCTTCCTCAAGCAGTACTCAGTACTCATCGATCCCGGAACATCCGACGCAGACCTATAGTCGCTATCTCAGCAACCTAACGAGCCGTTAAGGTATTTTCTCGCAACCTTCAAATCAACGCTAGCCAAAGTCGAGGGAATCATCGATGTAGCCGCCCTTTCAGCCTTGAGAAAAGCCCTCTGGTACAAGTCAGAATTCAGAAAAGAGCTGAACTTGTCCAAACCTACCACGATCCGCGATGCGTTGCATCGAGCTTCAGATTTTGTCGCCCACGAAGAAGAGATGGAGTTGCTAGCAAAAAGGCACGAGCTGACAAAGCAGGTAGCCCGAGCCGAGAAAGCACAAGCAGGTCCACCGATCCAGAACAAGACGAATCAGAGCGGAACATACACACACCACGAGGGGTGCGATTTCTTAGAAGCCCATAACTACCAAATCGATGCAGCCCAAGGCCAAGGACAAGGAGGAGACTCTTTTGCTTGGACAAGAAGTCAACCACCAGGTGACGAACAAGAATACTGCGAGTATCACAAGACCTTCGCACATCACACTTCCCGATGCAGGAGCCTCGGAGCAATATTAGCCGCCAAATTTCTAGCCGGAGAGCTTGGGACGAACATAACCCTCAAAGACCTAGACCTAGAACAAGTTCAGCCCGAGCAGGTGGACACAGCAAGGGGTCCCGAGCCAAGGAAGCCAGACTCTCCGAAGAGAATCCGGGGAACACCCGACGAGGAGCGTGATTGTACACGGCAAAGAATTCACACAATAATGGGAGGATGAGTGTATTGCCCCGACACTGTAGCCACGATCAAAGCCTATCAAAGACGAGCCGAAGCGCCCAGCAACTGGTTAAGGCCATTTGACCGACCTAACGATGTAGTGATGTTCGAAGAAAGTGAGACAAATGGGCTCGACAGGCCTCATAATGACTTTGGTCATCACGCTTGCCATTGGAGACCACGACGTGTCAAGGGTATTGATTGATAACGGCAGCACGATTGACGTGATCTTCCACGAGACGCTTCGGCAGATGAACATCGGCATGTCGCAAGTAAACCAGACTCCGAGGCCAGTACTTGGATTCTCTGGAGAAACCCTGATGACACTCGGAACTATTCAGCTGCCAGTCCAGGCCAGTGGAATAACAAAGATAGTTGATTTCTCTGTCACAGATCAGCCGACCATCTACAATGCCATTATGGGCATCCCATGGTTAAACTTAATGCGAGTCGTCGCCTCGACATACCATCTCTGCTTGAAGTTCCCGACGCCTAACGGTGTAAAAATGATATGGGGAAGCCAAGAGAATTCCAGGATGTGCTTCATGGAAGCACATAAACTTCAGAACCTCGTCGCCGAATCAAAAGCCGAGGTCAATCATAAAAAGGCGAAGATTGGCCGAAGCAAGGAGAAGTACCCCAATAAAAAGAAGGCGGCCGAAGAGACAAAAGTTCTGGAGGCCGTTCTCGGGACTCTTGCTCCTCCCAAAGCAACCGATGAGCCTGAGGTGGAGATGACGAATCCTAACCCCACTGCCGATGCTAAACCCCACTGCTCGGGCTTCAAATATTTTAGTTGAGAACATAAAGTTTTTAATGTTTTTTTAGTGTTTTCGGGTTTTTGGACATGTGGTATGGAATTAGGCTTTTTAGAAGAAGAAATAGATCAAAACGCGTCAAGAGAAAATCCAATAAGTTAACCGACCGGTTAAGAATTCGAACTGGTCGGTACAAAAGGTGCCTCTAACCGATCGGCTGGGACATATAACCGATCGTTTATGTTTTGAGACTTTCTGTAGCCGCAAAGCATACTTCTTTTTATGATTTTAATAGTTGATTAAGGTGTTCTTCTTTTCTTCTTCTTCTTCTTCCTTTGTTTATTTGTTTGAAGATTATCAAACTCTTTTGTAATCTTTCTAAACTCTTGATCATTGTTCTACAATGAATACTTGTACTTAGGTCATGTATTAGTAGTCTCATCAAAGAGTTTAGGAATTTCAAAAGAGATGTTTTTATGAAAACCTTATATTATTTATAATGAAATTTGAGGTTTTACAAAAAAGCTTAACCTAGGTTTGTAATCTTCACGAAGACACACTAGGTTTAGAGTTTTCATCGGGTATTTATATATAGGTCTTGGAGACCAAGGAGTCGGTTTAGGGGTAAAACGTCTTTTCCCGTGAATTAGGTTAAGTGCAAACTCGAGTTACTGGACCGGGTAGAGGCAGTAGTGACCGGCGGAGAGAGTAGAAGGCAGCCTGGGCTCGAGCCTTGTGACCGGTGTGGCCTTGAAGCTCCGGAACGGTTGCATAGCTTCTGGCCGGTATGGACATGTCTTTACTCTTCTGGTCATAACTTCCGAATGGCTTACTGAATTGCTGCGAATCCACTTCGAGGCGAATCTTGACTCTTCTAGCTTTCCACAGCCACCAAGATCTCTTGATTTTCTAATCGGAAAGACCTCGAACGGACGCCATACTTATGACGTACAGAAACTATCTTGAAACGAGTTTTGATCGTCTTTTTGTCTTTAATGCTCAAAAATTCTTAAAAGCTTCTTGACTCCATAAATACTTGAATATCACCTTCTTGGCTCTGAAATCACTCTAAATGCTCCCTAAAACATAAGAAAACAATAGCAAATATGGGCAAAAATCTCATGTTATCAGTATGGCTCCTCGTTGACATTCTCCGGCATATCTTCCTAAAAATTTGGTACTTCTTCTTGCCCCATTTAAACATCTCCATCTGGAACATTGCCATAATTGTCGATCGGAACTTGACTATCCCATGTTTCTTCTTCAACGCTGATGTTTTACCGATATCATAACAATTTTCTCCATGGCTCGTCAAGACATAATAATTCCGCTTAAATCCATTGCGGTGTAGATTTTTGGAAACAGTTTGCGCATCACGCCGTTTTATGTTCCTACACCGGGCACATGGACACCGTAAAGTGCTTCACTCCATGTAAGATTGTTGATTACACGCAAATCGAATAAATGTTTCAACCCCTTCTCTAAACTCTTCTAATATACAATTATTCTCTGGATCTATATTTCAATCTATCCAGTCTCTCGACTCAAAATAATTAGATATTTTTAGATTGTAAACAAAGATTTTTAATATCTCAACGAAAAAAGTTTTCAAAGGTTTTTTTGTTGAACTAAATATATTCGTTCACCTTTCGATCAAAACTCAACAGACAAAATAAGACTGATGGATATTAGTTCAGCTTTATGTCAAAATTCACATCACATTATTGTAAGTTTAGGAAGCGAACATATTTAAAATTAGCCACGGTTTTTTGCTACGGACAATTTCGTAGCAACTATAGTCACAAGGTTGCCACGTTTTTTGGTCCTGGCTATTTTCCACAGATAATTTGTGGCTACATCCGTGTAGCAATTTCGTGGCAATATGCCATGGATTTGCCACGAAATATCCATAGTTAGTTTTTTGAAGTATTTCGTGGCTTGTGCATAATTTTTTCGTGGCTAATTATATTTAGCCACGGATTTGTTGTGGCTAGGCTGTGGCTATATGCATAGATTTTACTAGTATAATTTCAAAGTGATATAAGCTTGGAAGCCAAGGTTTTTGCTCACAGTATCACACAGATTCAAGGCTCATAAGCTTGTTTTTGATAAAATATTCGCTTGAATGGTCATTGATTAAAGATAAGTGAGGGCTGAGGCTTTAGTTTCTTAGGGAAATCCACGCTCTAGAAAGCAAGCTCGCAATCAGTCATTAGACAAAGGGGGCCGGACTCCACCCGCTATGTCTAAAAGAAATGATGTAAGCGAACCACGAACAAACCAGAATTCTGTGATAGCCATGATATGATTAGTTTCCTAAATGTTAAGATTTACACCAAAAAAAAATAATCTCAAACATTATTCATGATCAACAGGTATAGGAAGAATTTTATGTTCAAGTGTTGATTATCAATGACTTGGAGTCTCTAGTTATTTGTACAATAAGCATATACTGTATGAGGATCATGTTCTTCATTTAAAATGCTATAACTTGGTTGGATTTAGTTTTCCAGACCGTTCAAGCGTAATCTCGAAAAGATCAGCATCAGATTCTTCGTCATAGTCGAGCTTACGTCTATGACTATTTCCCACGGTGGTCCTCCCGCTTGCAATCTCGTCACTATTTCCTCTGTTAATGAAAAAATTGCTCAAATAGTGAGAATCTATTCTTCCAATGGAGAAGAGTTCTTTGCTATCCTCGAGCCCGGCTACAGCACCAGCACATGGGTTGGATGTGCGTTGCGCGTTTGCCGGGCCGTAATAAAATGGAGATTGCCCCAAGTTGACAAGAACTGTGGCCTCTGTGTTGGAAGCAAGAGTGGGGTACAGAGGTGTCCCGAACTCGTCTGCTTTACAGTTAATGACGTGAACCAAGTGTGAGTTGACTGTGAAGTAAACCTTCTTCTTCCTCGGATCGTAACCACAACCAACCACTTTGTTTTCCTTTGCCCACTCATGTTTCTCCGATTCACAAACCAGCTTCATTCCTAACATAAAAAAGAGTAATGCTTAAGATTCTCTATATATAGGACTTAACTCCACTAAATTTTGTAAAGACTATGAAGCGTAGGGAAGAAATATATAATATTTAAACAGTGAGGAAGTAGAATCATTTTTACCCAATTTATAAGACAAGATCGATGAGGTAATATTTGTCTTTAACATCAGAAAAAATTAAATATGATTTTTTAGCTTATGTAATTCAACTTATCAAAACAACTCGTTTTACAGTTTTACTGTGTTGGTGAAAGTAAAATTAAAAAAAAAAGCCTAACTTTTTTCAGTTCTAAATAGGATATCAAACTATTTTTGAAACTATCAAACATGACAGGGAAGAAAATGTATTTTTTTAACAAGGGAAAAACACTAATTGCATAGGTTTTTATCATTATATTTTTTATTATCAGTAAAGCGTCGTTACCCAAAAAAAAAAAAATGAAAAATCAGTAAAGCAAAGTCAACGCAGAGCCGGGATCATATTCTAATTGATAAATAGAGTTGTTTGCCTTGTTTGTCTTTGGTCAACAGAAGCAATGACGTGTGATCCGAATTGGGGCTTCTAGATTATGTGGAAGGTTGGTTTGCGACCACGACGTTATATTCCTAAGTGGATCTCCATTTCTCATTACCAAAAATAAAAATTCTCAAAGGACGGCCAACTCTTATATATTTAACCATTTACCTTTTTTGCTAAAACTTTTTCCCGTAAAACTGATTTTACTTCCTCCTAAAGTAACAAGTTTGAAGATCATGAAACTAAATGATGCAAACAGAAAAATAAGTACGTACCATCGAGATAGATAGAACCGTTCGATTGGAACCCAATAGAAGCCGGGAATTTTCCTGGTAGTCGTGTTTCGCCGGCGGCACCTAAGGAACCACCAGTCGCTAGTCCTAGAGACAAAACGGCTTCTTCGTTTTCTCCATCCCATTCTCTTCTTTGGACAAGTTTTAGTCCTTGGCTCTTGAACAACTTAGTTTTTTCACCTTCCACTAATTCACAACTTACGTCACCACCCTCACCGTGGCGGCGTTGGGTGATTTCTAGGATTGTAATTTCAAAGTAAGCCTCTTGTGGGAAAGCAGAACTTACGAGTTGTGGTCCGGGAAGTGGTAATGCTCCTCGGAGAACCATCAAGGGTTTTACTGCGTTGACCGTCTCCTTGAACGATTGATTAAACTTGATCGTCTGTGTGAAATCAACAGAGCCGTTTGACACTTCCCATGTGATTACAACACCAGGATCTTCGCTTCCTGCCGTCGTGCAAAGCCCTAGAAGAACCGACCCTGGCGAGGTCCCGGTCACCAAAGGAGCAGGTTCATGGAGAGCGAATCCGAACCTTGTCCACCCATTATCCACTGCTTCGGTAACCAAAGCCGGGTGATCCGTCCAGATGAATAGGCCAGGTTTCGACGGGAATCCTCCCGTTGTGGCGCTTCTGGAGATTGAATAGTTTTTAATATTTCCTCTGCGCTTGATGTCGGAGGTATCTAGCTGGTGGATGAGGCTCGTCTGGTGGAGCTTTGAGATTCTAGCCTGGAAGCTATTGCTCCGAATGGGACTGGCTGCGGTTGTGGTGATCTCTGATCGGCGTAGACAGCACCAGCGACGGAGGAAGACTACGAGGAGAGAAGAGAGGACGACAACGGAGAGAATCCCTGCCGTTAAATGGGCCCAACGAAGCATCTCTGGGATAGAATAATTTCTGAGATAGAGAGAGGGATGAAGGGAGAAGAAGGAGATCTTCGGACCCGTTCAACAAAGTTGGAAGATAGAGAGTACAAGCGGTGCCGCCCTGTGAAATATGGGCCCAATACAAATAAAATTTGTTTTAATGGGTATTTTTAGAAGAGATTTAAAATTTGAGATCAAATATTAAAATTTTATAAATATGGAGCCTATTTTGCAATAAAATAGATAAAATTAAAAAATTGAGACTAACTCTGAAAATTTTAGGAAAATGAGGCCTATTTTTTGTAACAACAAATCTTTTTGGGGACTAATTTTGATGCTAAAAGTCTTCAAAATTCTGGAAGCCCAATACTTATGTTTCTTGAAAATTGGTGGCGGACTGGGCCTGAGTACAAGAGAAAACCATATGAACAACAAAAAATAATCAATATAATAATACAAATCCTAATACATATCTTTTGCATTTATGTTCTGTCTTTTTATCCTAACCTTTCGTAAAAAAAATTCAATTAAAAATATATTTTACGGTTGTGTTTTCTAATAAGTTTGCAATCTGGCTACATGTCTTCTACGATTACGTGTATTTATCAAAAAAATTCATAAAACTATTGCAACATTTAGTTTATTTTACGAACAATTTTATTTTTTTTGTTTATTTTATAAATCGTTAATTTATCTACAGTCGTGTTTCTCAGTTAACTTTTTATAAATTATTATTTTTTATTTTCAATTACTAATGTATTTAAATTAAAATGTAACCGGTTAATTGAACTATTGTAATATTTGGTTTATTTAATGATTCATTACAACATTTAGTTTATTTGATGAATCATTACAATTTTTAGTTTTGTTTATGAATCGTTGTAATCTTTAGTTTATTTGACGAACATGCCCAATTTAGTATATTTGACGAATCATAACAATTTTTAGTATATTTGATATCTACGGTCGCGTCTTTCGGTTACAGTTTTTCATAAGAAAATTAAAAATTTTAATTACTAAAATATATTTAAATGAATTGTTGTTACCGTTTTATTCAACATAGTAACATTTGATTTATTAGACAAACGAATGAACATTTCGACTTATTTGACCAACCATTGTAATATTTTGTTTATGTAATGAACCACTGCAACATTTGGTTTATTTGATGAACTGTTGCAACATTTAGTTTATTTGGTGAACTATTACAATTTTGGTATATTGATGAACTGTTACAATGTTTACTCGTTATAAAAGATTTTTGTGAGCATTAATTAAAGTTAGAGCTGTTCATTTAGAGTTGTATCTTTTTACCATGTTTCTTACGTGTTTTTTCGTCACAAAATATTCAACCCAAAAATGGTGTCTTTTACAAACAGTTTTTTTTTTTTTATTTACTTAAACTTTCATGTTTTTATAACTCTATATATTCTTTACTTTTCTTAGAAAATCCGTATATATTTATTATTACTTTTTTTGTTTGATACTTTTCATATAAAGTTGCATTCTTTCGCTATCTAACATTCATATATATATATATATATATATATATATATATATATATACTTTGTTATCTATATCATTATTTTTTTTTGTCAAAATAACAATCAATTATGGTTATTTGTTAAAAACAATTCGAGGATTGTTTCTCTTTAACATAACACAATTTAAAATGTTGTTCACTTCAATCATAATATTTGTTTTTCTTCTTTTTTTTTGTCAACATCATAATGTTTTGTTGAATATATTAATATAACTATATTTATAATTGTTTAAGAAGTTGAAAATTTACGTCTACTAATTATAACTCTTCGTTTAATATTTTTTTTTTTACTTATGATCACATCTTTTCACCGTAATATATTTCTAATAATAATAATATAGTTCTTAATAAATGTTTCTAAGGGTTATGTCTCTTTATCATTATTTTTCGTAAAATATATCTTTTTTTTTTTTAATGCTAAGTTGTCTCAATTTATTATGACTTTTCGTTTGATATTTTTCTCTTTACAGATTTTTGAAGTCATTTCTTCCGCGACATCACAGGAGGGTCCTAAGTTCTAGTAACTATAATCAGAAATATATTAATTCAAGAAACGGTTGAGTGGGGTCCAAGTTGTAAACTGCTACAACCACAAGCATGGAACTTTGGATCCGGCCATAATTATGACGGTAAATCCTAGATTTTAACCTAGAAATATTGAGCCTCGGCCGTGATACTAGTATTCACTTTCGTTAGTCTAGATTTTTAGTTTTGCTATTATGGTTTCTTTATATTTATATAGCTTTGGTTCTTTTTCTAGAATTGAGATGCTTATCTTCTGTTTTTATGATTTTGTGTTACCCGTCAAGGTTATAACCATTATGTTATTTTCAATTTTTTGTTTGTTGATTTGCTGATTTGATCATTCATACCAATACCTTACACTAATCATTATATCGTTTGGTTTATGTTTTAGGACTGCTTATATTGGACGGTTTGATCGGGAAAGTATTGATACTAAGATGAAATCAAGGAAACAAAAAGAAGTATGTTCACGTAAAAATTCTAATAATATATTAATTTTACTATTTGTTTTTTTTTATAACGCTTTCTTAATCTTTTCCTGTGATATATTAATTATTTATCGTTATTCTAGGTTTAAATTTAATTGTTATTATCAGTAATACCATACCAATATAAAGATGGTTACAAATGAAGAGAATGAGTAGAAGAAAAGGATAAAAGAAAAGCAAGTACAGTCTGGATCTAAAATAGGAGAAGTCAAAGCGATAATGAAGAAGCAAACATTAGCTTCTCAAAACGACAGAGTCTTGTTAGCGGGCCAAAAGAATAAACAACCCAACAAGATTGTCAAGACTAAATACAGACCAAAGCCCATCTCGAAGCCAATCAACACTTGTTCTTCTCAGCCTCCTGCTATACGACGGCTAACTACAGAAGAAGACAACAAAGATAAAGATAAGCAGGAGGAAGCTTCAAGGCAATTGTCTCAGGAGCTAAAGACTAAGACTAGCTGTCATAGTCAACAAATAATAGTAACCAATAGATTTGCAGTATTAGATAATGAGGTTGAGGCTCAATGACCTAATCCTAAGAGTATAAATAAGCTTTAGGTTGTAATAAGAACTCTTAATTGAAATTAAATGAAGAAAGCAATGCTTATCTTATTCTCTAAACACTGAATATCGATTCTACTCGCATGGTATCACAGCCATGGCCAATCAATCCATAGAACTCTATTCATATCTTGCATTAAACATAGCAAACTGTGTTACCCTAAAATTAAAGTAGAAATTCGCCAGAATAGAGCATTTTCCACTATTAATTAAAATACTGGTACCCGATAAAGGAAAATTATAGACAACGATAATATTTTCTAAATACCAAAACTACCCTTAACAAACCCAACGTTTCTGCAGCGTTCTAGCAGAGTTCAATTAGAGGCTAAGGTGAGCGAGTTTAGTAAACTACAATTATACTTTCGCAGCGTTCCAGCATAGTTTAAGTAGACGCTGAGAATAACAAGTTTGGTATAGGAGTAGCATACTCTTCGCAAGCTCTATGTTAAATATCCCCAACTTCAAAAAGCCTAATATAAGTCCAACAATTTGGGCCGAATATAATCAAATTATATTGGTAGAGAACGTTGAACATACATAAACAATAGAAAACGATAATCCTCGTAAACTTATATATTCAAAAGCGTTACAATTCAAAAGAATTTATTCCAGTTTCTGTTTGAGTCCCACAATGCTTCTTCTTCTGTTTTTTCTTCTTGTTCTATTTCTTCCTATCTATCTTCTCTTTCCCATCCTCGTGATAATCCTCGTCAACTTCATAAAAATTGAAACAACCATAATGTGAGAAAAACAAAAATCAGGCAAATCCATGTACATTCATTGTTTTTAATGTTACAAAGTGTTAAAGTCAATTCTTTATTAAAGTTACAAAATAAATTACAAACAATATATATTTTGAAATAATGTACACAATACATTCATATACTTTTACGCTCACATTGGAAATATTAACAAAATAAGGATGAAAAAGTTACAAAAATCTACATTTTAAACATATGAATGTGTAAAACATTTTAAATTACATTGTTAGCGACCTCAATGAAGCGTACAACTAGAAATATAAATTGTAGGGGTATGTAATACTAATCTTACTGAAATACAGCAAAAGTAGAACTATGTGGAACTTGTGTATAACTACTATCTTGTGTATAACTATGTGTAAACTGGCGGCGCACACGCGGATAAAAACGGCGTACAAGAGGGAAAAAATGGAGCACGTGTGGAACAGAATTGAACAGAAAATTTGAAATTCACCGGAATGTTTTTGAGTTTCCCTCCAATTCCTACATAATCGAGAATTCCCCCATTGTCACAATCTTTGTTTCCCTTATTCTCCTTATCCTTTATTTTATTCTCCTCCACTCTTTCGACCCCTCTTCTCCCGAATTCTGTAGTTATTCTCTCGACTAAGGTTGTTATCATGGAGGAGAAAGAACATACTACAGTGAGATGAAAAGGGCCAAGATGCTAAAGGACCGTTAAGATGCTCTAACCGACGATGGTGACTATGCAAATATATCGTAGATGGAAGAATAAGAAACTTCTCCAAGCATCTCTAATGCTTCCACGGACGGTTCATCTTGAGTCAAACGGCGTAGAGATTCGATATATCTTGCTATCTCATGACCTCCAGCTACGCATCATAAAAGGAAAAATCGATAGATAGATTTTTCTCTACCGAGTCTAGTGTTGAACATAAACTCATCAAGATCCACGTCGATTAGGACTTCACGGGAACAAACAATTTGTTTAAAGAAAAGCCCAGCTACAATGAAAGGACCTAGGTTGCAGAATCCCTCACTCCCAATACGACGGATTATGTCTGTCACAAGTGGTCCTGGACTGTAGATCATTATTGAGGAGTTTTTGCAGCCAAAAGGTGGTAGAGGATAAAAGAAACTCAGATAGTGCATAAACAACTTTAACTTATATAAGTTGAGGTATAAAACCCCTAAATATGCACACTGTGCGCATAACAGATTAAAT